TACTAGTAGTAACAAGAAGCTACTAGTAACAAGTGCCTTACTAGTAGTAACCAGAAGCTACTAGTAACAAGTACCACGCTAGTAGTAACAAGAAGCTACTAGTAACAAGTGCCACGCTAGTAGTAACAAGAAGCTACTAGTAACAGGTGCCTTACTAGTAGTAACAAGTGCCACGCTAGTAGTAACAATAGCAATGACCTCCTAATAGCGATGGCCTCCAACCTAAAGAGCGATGGCCTCCAACCTGGGAGAGAACCTCGTAATACAGTTCTAGTGATACTCTCGACTAGCCTTTGCCTTGCTGGTTGACAGCCGAGGAATCAGTTGCACCACTGCCTGAATTCTGTGAGGTTTCAGCCGTTGGTGCTGGCTGGGCGGGTGTTTACTTTGCCTTCCGGCAGGCATTGACTGGAAAAAAGGTCTGCATTTTCGAAGGCACCGATCGTATTGGTGGCCGCACCTACTCTCATCGCATGGACATCGGTGATGAGACCTTCACACTGGATGTGGGTGCTTATCGCTTCTCTCCAGACATGCACTTGCCCGGAGATGTGATCAAACTTTTGGGATTCAAAACTGCTTGCTACGAACCCAACTGCCCTCCAGCATCTCAAGAATTCCCAGAGCCCTTCCACTTCAATTATACCGCCCCTTTGCGGCGGATCGTCGATGCGGAAGGGATGCCTGCAGGCTATGTCACCGCCATCAGGGGTATGTTGGATCAGATCTTGGCATCGGGTGGACAGCTCTTCATGGAGGCTAACCTTACGGATGTGCAGGCGTTGCACTCGCAGGAGGTGCGCCTGGTCTTTGACACCCGTGCAGTCTTGACCAAGAGCGTGCTCTTAAACTTGCCACGAGCACCGTTCCTGAGCTTGCAGTCTTTACGAAGTGACCTGCCAGAACGAACTGTGCAGATGGCGAACTGTGTGAAGTTCGATGTCCCGACCAAGTTCTTCCCACCAGGGAGTTTCACCTTGGGGAAGAGCCTTACAAAGGCCTATGCTTATTACGCAGATGCCTGGTGGCACAACCACCTGAACCAGACGGTTGGGCAGTGGCCAGAGAATGCCTTCGAGCCAGTCTTTGCCCCAGCTCCTCCAGAGACAGGATATGTTCGACTGGAAGTCTAGCATGTTTAGATATGTAAACACCCGCCCTTGTCTGACGCTTGTTTGCAATGAAGAAAGCTGAAGGTGAACACCAGCGAGGGCATCCCAATTGGCATTCATTGGAATGATGGCCAGAGACTCTGGCAGCTCAATTAAGCATGATCAATGCTGGTCCGCAAGGGGCATGAGTCTCATGTGTGTTTGTTTGCTTATGTCTTTAGAAGGAAAACCACCGTGAAGCATCCATCAATGTTTCAGAAATCAGCAAGGAACGGAAGCCACGCATTCAAACGTCCGCGTCTTGCGACGGGCCGAACGCGATGTTCTTCTTGACGTCCGCGTCGTTTTTCGTTGTTTACTTTTTTCAAGGTCCAGTGCGCTGCAATGCTCCCCTGCAGGGCTGCCGCGGCTTCTTGGAGGTAGTACGAATTACGGAACATCCGGAAGTGTCCAGCAACGCCTTCAAGAAAGGAAGAACCGAAGTTCGGTTCTTGCTTGGAATAGTCAAGGGTAGTTGGGTCCACGACCCAAACAAAGTCTATGTTCTTGTTAAAGTTAACGGCCTTTGGCTATGTACATACTGTAGTCAGATATTATCTAAAACAGTTTTCTCATGCTGATAATTTGGATAATCTCTGAAGACACAAAAAAGCATCCTCGCAAAACGACATCCTCTTCTGGACATTGCAACACCCTTTGCCATCTTTGCCACCCAGTCCTTTCGTATCCGATTGGGCCAGGTTTTCTACTCCACCACCAATGAGGACTGTGATCCCGGGGTTGATCCAAAGTTTGATACCGCTGGACACTAAGATAGATTCTGAACGACGTGGATCCCTCATCTTGGAGGTCCAATCAAAACATATGCATATATTAATATACATATGAATATTTACACACACATTCTTACCAGGTCGACGTTGTTTGAGCAAGTAGTTATGCAAGCCCTTGAGCGGACTTTAGTGGACACATCAACTCTGAAAAGGTGACCGAAGGCTGCCGGGGCTGACCGGGACAACCTTGAATTCCCAAAGACCCTCGTGCTCCAGATGGAAGAAGATACAATTCCTCTAGTTAGAAGCTACATATCCCTAAACATCTAAGAACCAAGTCGTTAGTGCGTGAGCTATCCTGCGTCGATACTAGTAGCTACCTGGCTACTACTAGCTATCTAGCTACTAGCGGGCTAGCCACCCCGCGGGCTCCAAAAAGAAAGAAAAAAACAAGAAAACAGAATAGCAACAAACCAAACAAGAAACACAACGTCCGACCGACCTCAACAGCTTGAAGCGAAGTGATCCAAGGAGAGTGGAGTCCAACTGGTAGTGGTCAGTCGCCGTCTATTGGCACCTGCTTTTCAGCCTTTCAAAAGCAGTGGCTCAGACAGGTTTTCACATTTTTCAAGTGAGCAGCCCTCCAGAGGACTTCTTTGAAGACCTTCGCCCTAGCGATCTCCAACCACTTGGGATTCTGAAGGGCAAGGCCGGGTGGCGTGAGCAGCACCGGTCTAGTTGACCCACTCGGGATCCGTTTCAGAAGCTTTTCACACATATTCTTTCTGCAAAACACAAGAGACCAGAAACGAGAGACGTTGCAGTCTCCAAAACGAGACCAGAAACGAGACCACGCGACCAGACCTGTCCGAGGCTGCGGAAGCCAAGCTTCAGAGGTCCCAAACTGAGAGCCCAAGTATCTAAACTTCTGCGGCAGCTACTTCTTCTGGTCACCTTTTGTGAAACCACCGAACTTTGCAGTGAAACAACATGTTTAACTGCTTTCAGTGATGTCATTTTAACATTTCCTTTTTAAAACTGTCGGTGAAACTACCGCCGCAGCCGATCTTTTGACAGGTTGCATGCTGCTGTCATGGAGGCCTGGAAGCAACGTCGACGCTTTGTGAGAACGCCAAACAGTTGGGTTTTTGGTTTTGGGTCACTGCAACTGCAGTGGATCACCAACAAAAGAAGCAACAGTTCAGTCTGTAAAAGAGTTTTTTTTTTACGAAACTCTTCCACCGCTATTAGGGTTGGAGGCCATCGCTATTGGGTCTTTTGCTTATTCCTCTGTTTTGCTGATCACTGTTGGGTCTGTTGGTGTTTTCCACGAGCTCTTCCAGGCGACCAAGCCGCTCTTCCAGAAGAAGTCGGTGGCCCAGCCCAAGGACCTTCCGGTGGGAACGCGGTGGGAGCGCGAGGAGAAACACACAGCCAGTAGACACCTTTGGGGAAAAACGTGCAAAGAGACGACCACACAACCTGAAGGCCTTCCAAGTCTTGTTTTTTTTGGAGACCTTGCCAGGATGACCTTTCTTGCTCACCATTTGCACCCCATGTCCATTCATAGTAACAAGGACGCCAGTAGGGGCTCCTGGCATCGCTACGAACGGAGCAAGGACGCCAGTAGGGGCTCCTGGCCATCCTACTAGGAACAATGTTTGCTAGAAACAAGAATTCAATCCATTCCTTTCTACTAGTAACAAGTGCATCGCTACTAGTAACAAGTGCCTTACTAGTAGTAACAAGGACGCTATTAGAAACTTTCCTTTCTGATCCTTTTTGCATTTCTTCGCCAGGAGCCGCCCAGCATGTTGGTGGTCGGCGTGTGGGATCGGACGGGCCATGGCTTCACGGCGCCCACGAAGGCCGCGTTGAGCGGTGCGAAGGTCGGTCGGACCGAAGGTCAAACCTTAGGAGGCCACGACGCTAACCGGGGCCAGGAGCGAGGCCAGGAGCCCCTAGTAGCTTCTTGTTACTACTAGTAAGGCACTTGTTACTAGAAGCGATGCACTTGTTCCTAGTAGCGTTCTTGCTCCTAGTAGCAACTTTTTGGGTTTGCAAGACGTTTTTACAATTGGATGTACATGCGCGGGGCCTACGGTTCAGCTTCGTATGTATGCACACTGTGCTCCTATGGGGGGGTGGGGGGTGGGGTGGGCTGGGGTCTAATCTCCTCTTTTCACACACAGCCGCAAACATGCAGCATAGTAATTAACGAACTTCGTCTTGCATTGCGTCTTGGTAACAGGACTTGGAAGCGCATGTCCCTCTTGCGTCACCTATCTAAAGACCCTGTGGCCGGCACGCAAGCTTCAGATAACTTCTGGAAGCTGTTGAAAAAGTCCATGCCCAGGTCTTTACATGCTCGTGAGATGGAACTCATGGCAGGGTGGTGTCGCAACGGCTGTGGAGCTATGCCTACAGCTTTCAGTTTCGCTGGAACGCACAGGGCAATCTTTGGAAGGCGGTCGCCCGCTTGATCCGCTGAACAAAAGAAACGTTGCTTTCACCCCGCCCCAGTCACCCTGCCTACTGTACTTTCGAGGCCAGACGCTTTTTAAAGGTGACTTGGAAATCTCCTGGTCATACATCCTGTGAAGCACTGTAGCAGACATTCTATCGCCAGACGTAGCAGACCTTTTTTGTGAGCCACCTGAGGGTAAAATTTAGAAGAGGAAGGAACCGTTCCAACGTTGCAGACCTTTTGTTAGCCTTGCGAGGTTAAAACTTAGAGGAAGAAGTTGCCGTTCCAATGTAGTAGGCCTTTGTTCTGTGAGCAACCCGGCCAAGGTAGCAGGCCTTTTGTGAGCAAAAGTTGGAGGAGCAGTAGACCTTTTGTGAGCCATCCACAGGTCTAGAGGTCTCGAAAATTCAGAGGGGTCTTGAGATCCAGCTACAGAGATCTAGAGCTCTGAAATTCACAAAGATCACGGTTGAGGTGCAGAAAGGTCCACATCTACAAAGATCCAAAGGCCTGGAGATCCAGATGGATCTAGAGGTGTAGAGGTCTAGAAACCGGCAGATCTAAAGATGGAGGCTTAGAGGTCTTGAGATCCAGGCAGGTCTTGAAATCTAAGTTCTAGGGGTCTAGACTTGTAGAGGGTATCGAAAGATGTAAAGCCCGAGATCCAGAAAGATCCAGCAAGGATTTGAGATGCAGAGAGGGGTTTCAGATCCAGAGATATCAAAAGCTCTTTTCAGAGGTTTTGAGATCCACAGACATGTTGCGCCTGCCACGCAATCTGCGCATCGAGGTTCCAGATCGCTGCGCCTGCCACGAAATTTGCACTTATAGAGGTTCACACAGTGCCGTGCCTGCCACGAAACCTGCACGTTCCTGCCACGAAATCCGCTACTGGAGGTGCTCAAAGTGCTGCGCCTGCCATGAAATCTGCACATCAAAATTCAAACCGCGCAGCCTTGCCAAGGCAGCTTAGTTCTTTTTTCACTCGGGTTGCAAGATGACAAGATGACCAATCCGTCAGGTCTACTACAGCAAAGATGAAACCACTCCTGGTGGCCCTGATCCCTTGGAGAAAGCCTGTGGCCCCAATCTCAGAGATATTTTCTGAGTGCAGAGATGCTAGTAGCGTCCTTGCTCCCAGTAGCGATGCTTTTTGTTACTTGTAGCTTCTTGTTCCTAGTAGCAAGGCCAGGAGCTTGTAGCGTCCTTGGTCCTATATGGGTTTGCTTTCTGAACGGCTTAGTCGGAATCCTTAAACATTCAAGAACGCTTGTCAAGCTAGCCCTTCAGTAAGAAGACTGCTTGCCCATGCTTTTCTGGGGAGTTAGCACTCCGAATGTTCACTCGATTCCTTGGCGCCACATCTCAGGTGTTCCTGGATTGACCGACAAGGAGTATCGTGATTCCTTGTTGCCCGGAGCTGAGATCAGATGTGGAGAGCTTGGAAAGACTTCCAAGCTCTCAAACGGATATTGCCTACTAGCGATGGCATCCAACCTCCAACCTAATAGCGACGGCCTCCAACCTAGAAGCAATGACTTCCAAGCTCTCAAGCGTTCCTCAAGTTCTTTCTATTTGCGAACAGATTTGCTCCTAGCTCCGAACATGGTGACCCAGAGAAGAGTTGGAAGACGGCCTGGTTGGCCAAGCCCATCTTCGATGAGATTTTGCCAAGCTCTCAAGCATCCTGTGAATCCTCAGTCCTTCGACTGGAAGGTTCCCACACCCAGATCACAAGCAGATCATGCTGGCCAACAACGTCTGAGACCCCAGCGGTTGGGGTTGGGAGCGATCAACACATTTCTTGAGGATTTGTGGTGTTTTGTTTTGGGAGCCGTTGGCGCATTGAAGTTATGTCAGTCTTGCTGTAGAAAGGATGTCTGTCATTGAAGTCTTGGCCTACAAAACAATGTTTCAAACATGGAAGTGACAAGAAACAACCGTTCACGCACTGTGAACATGCGGAGGATTGGGTGGCACAGCCGGTGGAGAAGATGTTTGGAGATTGGGCGGAAGAAAGCCAGGGAACCCGATGAAATTGGACGCGACGTAAAACCAGATACGCAACTAATTGGAACGTGTTAACGAGTTTGTCTGTTTACCAAGAGGTCTTTGAGGTCTCCGAAATTCAATGCACAACCAAAATCGCCCTTAGGTTGGAGGCCATCGCTAGTAAGATGGAGGCCATTGCTAGTAACTAGTAGTTAATTAAGCTTAGTAGCTACTTAGAACGATCTTGATTGCTATCAATTGGTTCCGATTCACATCGGATCCAACAGAGGACCTTTATTTTTTTGATCTCACACTTTCTTGTTTACAACAGCATTCTAGTTTCCGGCGCCAAGTGCCGCATCAGTGAATCATAGCTTCTTCAACAAGTTCTTGAATAGAAAGAAGGAAGAAAGGCGAGAAGCATGACATGTGTGAAGGCCTAAAGCAAAAAAGGAGAGACGTTCCAAAGAGAAGCATGAAATGAAGTTAAGTTTCCAAAAAATCTAGTAACTTAGTGCGAGCACTTCTTCAATGAAGCTCCCCCGCCCTAAGGCGGGGGGAGCTTCCTTGAAGCGTGAGCTATCCTGCGTCCACTTCCTAGAAGCTTAAGTAGCTAGGAGCGAACAAGTTTGTCCCTTACTTGATTCAGTGGGTGCCAAACTACTTAATTCAGGAGGCAGGGCTCGTTTTTGCTAGATAAAGAGGAATTTCTCTAGTAACAAGAAGCTACGAACGGGGCTCCTGGCATCGCTACGAACGGAGCGTTCGGACGCTACGAACGGCGCTCGGGTTTTCTCCGACGCTCCCGAGGTCTCCTACAGGCGGAGCGTGCGCTGCACGGGAGTGGCCTTGGGCGACCGGCATGGCTCGATGAGGAGAAGCGCGACCCGCGACCTGCGCATGGCGCATGGCGAATGGAATGGCCTCCAAGCTAGTAGCGATCCTGTTACTAGTAGCGATGCACTTGCTCCTAGTAGCGAAATGCAATGCAAACATTTTTTGTTCGAAAGTGGTCGACAAGCTGTGAGTTGTGTGAGTTTCTTTCCACCAAAGGCGCCGCTAAGTCTGCTCAGTGTCTAAGAGGTTGCAAGCAATTCGTTGAAGACAAAGACCCAATGCCTTTTGCATTCAACTAAAATGGTCATCCATGACAAGACAGGAAGGCCCTCTTCGGTCAGAGGGCCTTCCTGTCTTGTTTGTTGCCTCGGAACGCGAAGGATTACTACAACCGCAAGGCTGTGGTGGAATCGGAAAAGATGACATCAGATCAACGAAGTGGAGCCTAAGGAGAAACCTAGGAGGTAGCTAGGAGTCAGAAAACCTGGTAGGAATGGCCTCCAACCTAGAAGCGGTGGCCTCCTACCTTGTAGCGATGGTGCAGTGGCCAGGTGTTAAAGCAACAAGTGGAATCTGCAGAATTCCATCTTTCATATATATATATATATGGCTTTAAGCTCCTTTCCGCCGTGTTTTTGTCCGCTTTGGATTCAGGTTCTTGGCATTGCTGAAGGGGACATTGTCACAATGGTGTAGGATAGTTAGTATGCTCGTCTCTCATGAAGCTTTTTGAGCGTACATGCAGCATCTTCCATTTTCCGTTTACCAACATGTGCGTCACATCGTTGGAAGCGCGGCTGCTGCGCAACAGTTTTCTCACCTCGAAAAGCAATAGAAAAAGATTGTACACGCCTCCGGTCACACTCATTGACTGGATGCAACACAAAACTAGAATCTCCCAACCTCCAAACATTTCCAGGAATACAAGCATTTCTGGAAGTCATTGTGTTCTTGTGGTTTTGCATCCAAGAAGAACATAGAGACACTTTTTTCAGAATCGTCGTGCGATGAACCTGGATATGACAGGATGTGCAGGTAGAATGTGCATAGTCTAGTAACAAGAAGCTATTAGGAACAAGTGCATCGCTTCTAGTAACAAGTGCCTTACTAGTAGTAACAATGTTTGCTATTAGGGGCTCCTGGCCTTAGGTGAACCTACCATGGCTCGCTCACCTCTGCAGCTAATTGAGCTTCATGTGCTCGGTACAGTGCAGATTCCGCGAACCGGTTCACCCACTGCCTGAGCACTTGATCCACTCAGTCCCCAAATCATATTGAGGTTCCAACAACTGTCATGCCAGCTGTCAGCCTTCAGATGCAGAGAACACTCAAAGAAGCTGGCAAAACAACAGAGTTCTTCTTGTTTGTTTCAATATACTCTTGAAGAAACGAACATAAGCTCTTGAGACAAACTCTTGAAGAAAGCTTCCATGGCGAGACCGCAACGGAACAGCTGAACGAACGATGCCTGGTGTGGGTGCTGCGCATGGAGCCTGGGAGCTTGTGGGTCACAGGCGCGCAGCCACACCTGCTGTTTCTAATCCCTTTAAACAATTAGTGGCGTCATTAATGACCCCGCTGTTTTTTAGTATTCCAAACATGAAAACTCCACGAAAACGATGAACAAGCAATTTTGTCAGAATTCCATTGTGTAAACTGTTTTGGTCCGAAAAATAAAGCCGAAATTGGTCACCAACATAAATTGCTGCAGAGCTATATGCAACACTTCAAGAAGCAGCGGATCAGCGGTGGAACTTTCACTCCAGGTTTTCAACAAGCTATCAAGATACCACAGGTCTACCTCAAACCATGACTGCAATTCTTCGGGGAGCTGATCCACCCCTGTCCACCCCCCAAAAGCGGACACAAAAGAAAATTCCCAGACCATCCTTGCTGTATGCTTATCCACGCATGGCCATAGAAGACATATATAAAATCTAAGGTTAGATATGAAAAAATTGTGTGCGCAACACAGCACGCTTCGTGTATACATATTGGTGTGCCGAGCGCAGAAGAGTTTCCTTTGTACGGGTGTGCAATTTGAACCGAACGTTAACATCCCAACCCTGCCCCCCTCCACCCCCCCCACATGCTATGATGTGCATGACGGAAACGCATATGAAAAAGACCTGTAATACCACACGAAACTACAAAGTGCCGCAAATACCGCACGAAATCGTGTGCAAACCCTCAAAAACAGCGGGGTCGTTAATGACGCCGCCAGCTTAAACAACCCTAGCCCAATAGCAAAAGGAACTTACTAGCGATGGCCTCCAACCTAATAGTGATGGCGGTATCTATACAATTTGTTTCTTTTTTGACAACCCCTTTTTCTTTGACATCCTGTTTCTAGTAGGGTGGTGATGTGACAGATGCGCGAGCATAGCAGCAATGGCTCCATACAGTTGGTGAACATTGGTCATCAATTCCATGGTTTGAGACCTTTGCAGGGTACCCTGGCTACTTCAATGCTTTAGTCTGAACTGTGGTTATCAATTTTGGAAAAAGAAGCGCGACACATCTCAAATCATGTCCAGCTTCAAAGCACGATGTCATGCTGTCAGCGTTCTTCACGTCAAGCAGCGTCACGCTGCCCTGGCTGTACCAGGCGGCCATTCAGCTTCGCAGGCACAGCGACCATAAGAGTTGATTCTGGTCGAGTGACGATCTCTAGAGGATTCGCTAAACAACATGACATGTTAAAATCATTTGAATCATTTCCATTTTAGACCAAAATTCTAAAAGATTTATGAACATTGCTTTCATTCATATCTTAAAAGGATTTCAAGCTGCATTTTAATGCATTCTGCATGTGCGTCTTGCTAAGATGGCTTGGAGGCGGTGCTGATCAAGCCGGCGAGCCGAAAGCAGGTCCAGGACATGACCCAACGGGTGCGGAGACCGAGTTTTTGAATTCCCAAAGGCAGCCTTGACCCTTTTGTTGTTCTGTCGTTGTTTACCTTCTTCTATCTATTTTTGCTTGTTATTTGTCGTTACTGCTGTTCTTTCTGTCTTCTTGTATTTCTGACAAGGTGTCTTCACAAGACGCTCTTAGCCTTTAGCGGTTTTTGCAGGCATCCACTTACTAGTCCATTTGTTCATGTCGTCTACCTCTAACTGGTCCCTAACCTGTCTAGTATTGGTGTCTATTCCTCGTTTGGGAGAGACATGTTTGGAGTCTGGAATCAAAGTGGTCCTCAACCCACATCACGAGCGGTCTGCCCGGACGGGTGGTGCGACCCTTCGGATCACCAGAACTGTTCGCACTTCCAACTATCGAGTAGGAACAAGTGCCTCGCTACTAGTAACAGGTGCCTTACTAGTAGTAACAAGAAGCTATTAGAATTAACATAGAATTAAATTAATCTTAATTTAATAGCAAACATTGTTACTACTTTTAAGGCACTTGTTACTAGTAGCGATGCACTTGTTCCTAGTAGCTTCTTGTTACTACCCCCAGTAAGTTCTGATATAGGGTTATGTAGTCCATTGTTTATTTGGTGTCTATTACCCCACAAGCTCCTTTTCAAACTTCTTTCAGGCTCCGTGTGCTTTCAGCAATGTTCTCAAAGCTGAGTAGAACTCTTTTGGAGTTGCAGGCATCACAGACTGTTGGAAAACAAACTGAAAGATTATGTCTTTCAATGCTGGGTCAAACTTTCTGTGACCTTTGACCTTCACACTGATGGGAAAATTGTGTCCCAGGAATCGTTTCAATTCCAGCCATGAAGAAACAAGGCACATCCCCAGACACGTACGCATGAAAAAACATTTCACGAGGAACTACAAGCATTGAATGACATTGAAGGACCCTTTGTAAGCATTTTTCCGCGGAATACACCGTGATTAAGAACATATCCGGCATCCACAACGGACGTTATTATCCCAGCCCCACCCGGCCCACCCCCCCCAGAACCCATGCTTATCACACAAACAACGATAACATGTCTGAAAAAGGTCCAAAACACCACGGACCGTCATGGGCGGTGTTTCAACTATTAAGCTTAAGTAACTACTAGCAATGGCCTCCAACCTAAGAGCGATGGCCTGCAACCTAGTAGAAGCCCAGCTTGGATCCGCTGAGGTGTACGCTCGGAGAATGTCCAGAAGCAAAAAGAAGCCCTTGAGAAGATCAAGGCGCCAAGAGATCTGGAGGGTTTCAGCGCAGACATCCCGTATTTCGTTTTGTGCAGCTGATCACCCTCTATCATTTTGAAATTATACTATTATATGTATATTTGCACATATATAGACATAGATATAGATGTGCATGTCGGTTTGTTTGTTTCGTGCAGGAGGTGGAACAGACCGCAGCGATGCATGTGGACGCCCCAGAGGGCAAGCCTTGCCCCTTTCAGGTGAACCTGACGCGAGAGACGGTAGGAAGAACCTGGTGAAGATGGCCTCCAACCTAAGGAGCCCCTAGTAACGTCCTTGCTCCTAATAGAACCTTTGGCTTGGAAGGTCTAGAAAAGGAAAGAAAAGGTCCTTCCGAGAGGGAACAAGGGAGGTCCAAGAAAGATGAAAAGAAAGGTCTCGTTGACGAAAATGACAGACCTCAACAGAACCTGATGGGCCATGCCCTCAGGTCAGCAAGGTTGGCCGAAACGCCGCTTGGCCGAACGGACGAGTGCACCGTTTCTAGTAGCTTCTTGCTCCTAGCAGTAAGGCCAGGAGCTACTAGTAGCGTCCTTGCTCCTAGTAGCTTCAAAGACATACTAAGAGCTTCTTGTTACTACAGGTGAAACGATTCCCAGTCAAACGATTCCCAAGGAAGCTTCTAGTTACTAGAAAGTTTTGTATGATGTTGTATATCTTGTATATGTACTTGTTTCTTTGGTCAATAAGTACAATGTCCTCCAACCTAGAAGCGATGGCCTCCAACCTACTAGCGATGGCCTCCAACCTACTAGAACCATGACAACAATATGACATATGCAGCAGCAGTGGCAGCCTTGGATTTGTTAACTTTCAGCTTTGGCAACGAGTTTCTTAGGCTCTCATGGGCCCCAATGGCTATGTGCTGACCTCAACTGTCTTCGGACAAGACAAATAGCAAGAAACTTGCACGCTCCTACTTCTCGCTTCTCGTTGCCCTTTTTGCAGTTTGCTTTGGTTGATCGGCAGATTCATGTTTCTCAAGGGCATGTATACATTGAACATCCTTGAACCCATTCCATCTCGACATAGGAGTTTGTCGACGTTTCCCACATACCTGCGGTTTGCACTGGAGGACGAGCGATTGGCGAACCCAGCATTGAGATGGTGCTTGCCAGCCAGGTCTTGCCGCTCTTGAAACAACCGGTTTGCCAAAGAGGAGTGATCAAACAATATTAGATACCAGCCATGGCCTCCAAACCATATTAAACTTGGTAGAATAAGTTAGCAAACAATCGATTTCTGAAGAAGTCTGAGTTGCGACTGTTGCACGTCGCTGCCTGTCGAAAGAAGCCATTTGATTTGGTCATTGCAGTTCCACGGAGAGAAACATGAGCTGCCAATGCTTCGCGGTTCGTGCTTTGCTCAAGCCCAAAGACATGGAAAGAACAAAGAACAAGGCGTCTATGGCCGAGGCTACTTCAGGGCAACCCTAACCCATTGCCTGCTTGACAGCCTTTAGCAACATCGTAGGCATTCTCGTTTGTTCAATTGTAGGAAGACTTCTCATTTCAAGTCTTAGAAAGAAGCTAGTAGAA